TATGTCAAGTTTCTTTCTGGTTGTTCTATCCATGTCGTGGTTTATTTTGAATACTCGTGTAGTATTTGAATCCTATGTTGGATTCTCCTCGGTTTTACGAGACTCTGTTTTAATGTTGGGGTCCTGGTGTGGCTCTGTGGGTTAAACGTGCTGGACTGCAGGGTCAGTTTGAACTGCAAGGTTGGCAGTTAAAGCTCACCAGCTGCTCACTCCTCGGAAGCCCTGTACAGGGTCACTATCGGTTGGAGCCAACTTGACAGCACTTAACAATATTGTATTCCCCTGGTATAAAGGGGAGAAGAAACCCCCTCATGCTGTTCAGTAATTAAAGGGGAAACCTTGGTGGTCAGCGACCTCTGAGTTCCCTGGGCTCTAACGGTCCTGGGACACTGGAAGCTACCGCACTGTGGTTGTCTACATGATGATATTTCTGATTTTATTTAAATTCTTTAAACATATTTTCTAGGTATGGAATATCAAACAGATGATCAAGTTGACCCAGGAGCACATAGAGGCCCTGCTGGACAAGTTTGGTGGCGAGCACAACCCACCCTCAATATATCTGGAGGTAAGCTTCTGAGTATCATGTCGGCAGTAATTTTGAAAAGAAAAGATGAACTTATTAAAACTGTCTGTTCTGAGTTTAGTTACCCTGATTATTTTAGGAGGTGGATTAGAAATGGATATGGGAAGAAGACAACTCCCTGACCATTATTACTATACTTCTTCATATTGGTTTCTTTCACATGGTGGAAAGTCTCAAATAAAGCAGAGGAGGAATTCCTATATAAACTTGAAAATGTTACTCTCAAGAAAACAATTTGATTTAAAAAGAGAGAGAAAGCTTCATGTGCAGGCTAGCAAAGTAGTTCACCATTGAAAGAGGAGAGAGACTTGTTTCTAGAACCAGACCTTTCCTCCCCACATTGGTTTCTGCTTCCTTACAGGTAACATGGACTCATAGTGACCCTGTAGGACAGGGTGGCGCTGCCCCTTGGTGTCCCCAAGGCTGTGATCTTAATGGAAGTGAAGGTTTGCAAGCCAACTGCTTGGCCATTGCAGCACCAGGATGCCTACAGTCTTGAGCTAGGCCGGCATTGCTTAGTCAGAGTGTGTGACAGTGCCTTGAGGAACGTCCCAAGCTCTGAGCATGATTGTGAGTTTACAGGGTTAGTGATTGTTCCTAACTCTGTGAAGCAGTTACGAGTATAATCACAGAGAGACTCTGGACACAAGTGAGTCGCTCAGCCCTCCACCCCCTGTGAGCTGGTACGGAATCCAAGCAGTCGGGCTTGCCCACGCCATTCAACTTGGCTCTCCACCACCTTTCTCTGAAGGCTGATACCAGTGTAATCACGGGTCACACAGCGAGGTCACCCTAACTTCTAAATGCCCAGGTGACCATTGACCAGAGATTCTGAGGCATACTTGGGCAGGCTCCTCTATTTCTCAATTAGAAATCTCATTTCCATTAAAGGGCAAGTTAGGTCTGCAGCACTGACAGTCCCCGGACAACAAATGAGATCATTGCCAAGTGCATGCACTTCTTCTTCAGCCTGCCTTCATGACAAGAAAGACTGGAATCCATTTCCAGGACTTAAAAGCAGCATGTGCTTTTATAAAAATGCATCACTTAAATGAAGGTGATTGTGAGAAAGCATTTGTTGAGAGGAGGGTTTGGTTCAGTCCTTTGAAAATGAGGGCCAATTTATATGGCATTGAAGGACAGGTGTGAGTTGTCTGGTACGCTTGTATTTCTAAAGTGAACTTGGAAGTTTGGATATAACAGTTAACAAATGGATCTCTTTTTTCATATAGCGTATCTCCAACCAAAGTGCCAGTGAGTATCAGAGCAAGGACTTGAATTCACCTCCCTTGAGTACTAGTTAGGAGTGCCCAGCCTAGGGCTCCTCCTTTAACTCAGGGGTTTCAGGAAGGCAAGCAAAGAAGTCAGAGGGAGATAAATACTTCTAGAGAAAATAGTCAAATAGCACTAGACAAAATAACCAGCCAACATTTTCTGAGTCTTGGGGGACTTCCCCATCCTCAAATGTGAGACAGTTGCATCAACAACAACTCCAGTGGTTCACTGCCCTCCACACATCCTTCAGACTTTTTATTATCTAAGGGCTGGTGGTCACTAAACAAAACAGCGTTCAACAACAACAATGACAAACCTTCACACTTACTCTGTACCTGGTTGTAGTAAATTAATTTATTATTTTGTTCAATCGTTAGAATTACCTCTGAGCTAGATACTAGCTACTAGGGATTTTTGTCAGCTCCATTTTACAGGTGACAAACAGAGGCTCAGTAGTAAGGGGGAAATGCATGAATCTAACTCCGTAGTCTTTGCTCTTGGTGCCTACTCTGCTGTGCCTTTATGCACTGCTGTTACTCCCAATCCCACACCCAAGCAGCTCTCCTCAGGCAGGCCATACCTCTTCCTTATTCCTTCAGCCACTCTTGGTGACACGATTTGTGGACCTTTTATTAGATGGATTTGGTCAGTTCCTTTTCACAATTGTTGTTGCTAAGTGCTGTTGAGTCAGTTCTGCCTTACAGTGACCCTGCACAGGGTTTCTGAAGAACAGCTGGTGAGTTTGAACCTCGGACCTTGCGACTCAAACTAACTTTAATTTTTATCCTTATAGCGCCACACCAGAATTTTTCGAAATTAGGCTTCTGAAATTGAACCCACTCTTCAGAAAAGTCCAGTAGGACAGTACCAGCAGTCCATCCCTGATGGGTTTCACCACTAGCCTGTGCTGATGCAGGAGAGACTCAGAAGATTGTGTGGTGTTGTGCTTCCAGGAGCTGTGCGCTCACACACCACACCTCCCAGCCTTCCTGCACCGCAACTCGTTGGTCAAGGCTATCACACATGGTTACTAAGGATTGTTGTTCACAGCTGTCGTGTCACTTCTGACTCACAGTGACCCCATGGGCAGCAGCACCAAGTGTGGCCTGGTCTTCCTGCACTGTCGTTACAGCCATTGCTGTGTGTGAGCTCAGCTTCATAGCCACTGTGCCAGTCCAGCTCATTAAGGGTCTTCCTCTTGATCATTGACCCTCCACTTGGCCAAGCACAATAGCCTTCACCAGGAATTGGTCCCTCCTGGGAATATGTCCGAAGTAGGTGAGACAGAGTCTTAGCACATACGCAGCTGCTGATGCTTTTTTTTTCTTTGTCTTAGCTCTGCCCTCCTTGCTTCTAAGGAGCGTCTGACTGTACTTCCGAGACAGTTTTGTGCATTCTTCTAGCAGTACAGGGTGTAGTCAGGACTCCTGGCCAACAGCGTAATTCAGAGGCCTTGCTTTCACATGAGTCTGAGGCGGTTGGAAATAGTATGGCTTGGATCGTCAAGTGCAGCTTAGTCCGCAGTATGACATCTTTGCTTGTTAACATTCTAAAGAGGTCTTGGACAGCAGTTTGACCTGAGGCAACATGTCGTTGTTCGATCACCCCACCCCCATTATTATGACGTCCTGGTGTGGTGCTGTAGGATAAGCACTCAGTCACAAGGTCGGTTTGAACAGCAAGATTGTGGTTCAAACTCAACAGTGGCACCTCAGAAACCCTACATTGGGTCACTATGATTCGGAATCTGCTGGACAGCATTTAACACCAACAGCCCCATTGTTGTAGTCATTGACTTAGTGTTGACTTTTTACTATAAATTGGATGAAGACTTACAGAGCAAATCATCCGTTTTACACTCAGCAGTTCATAGACATTGTATGTCACCTGACTGATTCCAATCCTCTCCGTGTGACATCACTCGCTCCAGCTTAACCCGTTTGTTTCCATTCCTCCTCCTTTCCTGACCTCTTTTGCATTTGTCCTTGGGTAAGTGCCACCCTTTTGATCTGAAATCGGTGATTCTTCTAAGATGTGTACCTCACTAGTGTTACTCTCCCCCTACAGACTTATTTTCATTTGGCTGACCATAGAGCCACAGGAGGGAGTTCAGTTCCAGGCAGGCCTGAAGGGTGGCTAAGGACCATAGGCTCAAGGGTTCTATCAGTCTCTAGTTTACCAGTACAGTTGGTCTTTTATAGGACTGTGAGTTTTGCTCCACATTTTCTCCTACTTTATCTTATCTAGCCATCTAAGACCTTCTAATGAGATCCCTTTCAGAGCAGTTGGTAGTGATAGGTAAACACCATCTAGTTCTTCTGGTCTCAGAGTCATAGAGACTGATGGTCACATGGTCCCTTAGTCCATTGGACTAATTGTTGCCATGGGTCTTCGATGTTTCATCACTCTTCATTCCACTGGACAGGGAGAGACCAATAGTTGCACCTTAGATGGCTGCTCGGTCACCCTTCACCAACAAAATAAGATGTAGAACATTCTTTGTGGACTATGTTAATGCCACTAGAACTTGGTGACCCCTGAGACTATGTGGTTCTGAGTCCCCAGGCCTGTGACTCATTCCCTCGGGGTATTGGTTTATGTCGAAGAAGTTTTCATACCTTGGCCTCCTGTGTACTTCGCCTCAGTCAACTTCTCTTTCATGGGTGTTGATCATGGAACCCAGCAAAATGAAATTCTTGACAACTTCATGTTTTTCTCCATTGATCTTGTTGCATGTTGGTCCGTTAGTGAGAAGTTTTGTTTACGTATAAGGATTGAGTTTATGGTTTTGAAATAGCATAGTTTCTATACATAGTTAGTATTCCATAAATCATCATCATTTCATTCATCCAGAAGATACTGAGTGCCTGCTGACACTTTCCCTATTCTCGGCCCTGGGAATAGAACAGTAAATAAAACAGACAAAGTATTTGCCTTTAGCGACTTGTGTGCCACAGTGGGGGTGGGAGACAGGAATAGCAGGCATTGAGCATGAACGAGGTAAAGCCCTGCACTCACATCATCTGATGTACTGTGGAAGGGAGCCTTCTCCCGAGACCTCAACCAGCCCCAGAGAAAGACCTGCAGGCATTGATTCCTTCTGTGAAAAGCCAGGTCCCTGCCCCCAGACCCACCTTTCTGTAGGCTTTCCAGAGTCCTGAACACTTATACATGAATGGACGGCTAAGAATAGCCAGATATTTGAGGAAAGCGTTTAACAAGAAAGACAAAAGCAGAAATAGTCAAGAAGAACTCAGAAACAGTGCAGAGAACAGAAGAAAACTTTAAAATAACTCTAATTAACATTGAAGAATAAAGAAAATAGAGCATCCATTCTTGTCTCGAAGCTTTGCTGAAAAAGCAAAAAAGTATAAGAAAGTACTTGGAAGTTGAAGTTAATAATACTCTAGCAGAAATTTAAACTATACCTAGGTACATGAAAGCATATATATGTGTGTGTGTGTGTGTATATATATATATATAATATATATGTATGTATATATGTATGTATTACGTATGTGTATATGTGTATGCATAAATTCATGTTGGAGGATAAAGTTGAAGAAATCTTTCAGAAATACAGTTGGGACATATTAGAGGAACAGTGAAAAAAATGAGAGGATCCATCCAGGATTTCTATAAACATGACAAATACTTTGACTGTAATGCATAGAAACACCCAGTAACAAGTTGTGAGAACAGGTAGG